GGGATTGAGGCGATTTGGGGTGGGCTGGACCGTTGGATTCGCGTGGTTTTGTCCATACGCCAGGGTTTTCTAAAACCCTAACCCTAAGGATCGGGCGCGCGGGTCTTGTCTCGTTGAGTTCGGCCACACAACTGCTTTGGGCCACTTTTACACACGAGCTTGTAAGAAAAACGTAAGACCATCTGATCCTTTGTATCACGCGAAACTATAAAATAATTATGGACGCGTCTAGGGAGCAGCCGGGTGCTCCCTAGCGTTTCCTGGCAGCCACCCAGATATAACAATTTTTTGTCTCCCCCTGTCCAGGATAGGAAAGTACCTGGCCCCTGCTCCCGATTCCAGCAGCCACCCATCGAAGCGAGCAAATCACTTGGTCCTTCCCCTTCGTCCGATCCCTCCCCCACCCTTGCGGGTCTTCTTTTTGCCTTTCTCCTCACCTAACCCCCAGCCCCATCTTCTTCTCTCCCAAGCAAAAAAGGACAGCACGACCCTTCCCCTCACCACTTTCAGATCCAAGAAAATCTTCACGGCCCTCCAATGGCGGCTTCATTGATGTTTCTTCTCTAGGCGCCTCGCTCCTGGCAAAAAGGCAAAAAAGCAAGGCAAAAAGGTCAGATTTAGCTCATCTTCCAGATCCCCCTCCTCTTTCCCCACGATTTGTACAAGGCTTCAGTTGTGCAAAACATTATGTAAAAAAGATGTGATGTTAAGCATGTTTAGTCTGCTGTTTAGGCAAGTTTCAGCCCCCTGATTTGGGCAAATTTAGTCTGATGTTAAGCATGATATTTCTTCCCAGCTTTCAAAATCTATTTACAAATCTATTGCATATGAACACATTTATAAATCTATAGGCAAGTGCTGATAGTAAATGTTGGGGACAAAAATATTAGGAAAATATAATGCCTTAAGCAAGAAAAATAACTGAGCAAAAACAATACTTATAAGAGGATGAGAAACAACTGATCATGATCTATTTCTGATGTGTTCCAGTTCTATTAATTGCTTATAACAGTGCAAAAAAGACATTCTGTTTGGGCAAAAACAGTGCTATGATGTGGCAACTAAGTATATGTATGCACAAAACTTTGAAAACTTATGCCATGGCAAAACATGAACACTCTTGAAATTTATAAGACAATGAAATACTGACATCACTATGGAAAAGAAGGGGAAAACAAGGCTTCCCCCCCTCCCTATCAGATCTTTTGGGAGCATGTGGACCAAAAACAAATGGCTTATTGGAGCAACTTGCATTATATGATTAAGCAAAAAAGCATAATGATGTCAAGGCAACTCTTGAAGAAAACTAGAGAAAGATTCCTCTTGTCTTGGTCATTTGTTTCAATTATTCCTTGGTTTCGATAGTGAAAAAACACTAGAAGAAATAAATGTAACTAAAATTGCAACTAAAAAACAAGAGACAGTTGCGTAGTACAATTTACCTTTGTTATATCATATCCTTCACCATGATCCAAGAAAAGTTGGAAAGTTGCCAGGATACAGTGGCAAAATTATTAGTATTTCATCCTGCAAAAGAAGGAAAAAGCCAACAAGAAAATCCATATACCAACAACTATCTCAGCGGCGAAACGTTACTTTAAAACATACTGAGCATATCCAAAAACACACAAACTTGCTGCTGTAATAGATGAAACCTAAAAATGTCAACTTAAGTTCTTTCTAACACACAAACATAGGTACTGAAAGCAGAAGTAGTCTGAATATAAAAGAGCAATCATGCCCATAATTCTAATTTAAGTTTTTCCTAACACTAAACATGCTCTAATCTCTCTGATTTGGGAGTGAAATCCATTCTGAAGACACTTCAAAGTAGCACTTCTATGGCAGTATGCTTGCTTCCCCAAAATCAACCGTTGCCTGCATTTAAGAAAAACAAAATAAGAAAATATATTATGAAACACAAAAAACAAAAAGCCTATGTTATGTTTATATGTACAAACATGATTCATTAATACAAAAAAATACATATCCTGAAAAATAATATATTGCCTAACATATATAGTTTGACTTGCCTGATTATATGGTTTGGGTTGCGTGATAGTGCACTTTGAATTGCCTGGTTATGTTCAATTGCTATATTGTGAATCTGGTGTGCTTGTGTTGCTGTGTTGTTTGCTTGCCTGAGTTTAGTGTGGTACTAGCTTGCCTCAACAACATAAAAATTGCTTTAATTTTTCTGGTTGAAAAAATGCACAGGTTGAACATGATTGAGCTATTTTTGTGTGCTTGGGTAGGTGTGCTATTGGCTTGCCTGTATTTACTGTGCTACTTGCTTCCATCCCTTTGCTGACTTGCTTTACTTTTTCCCATATTCTCAACAAATAAAACAGGTTGGCAATGATTGGCCTAAATGAGGAACCAGCTGAAAATAATGATGATCCTTTGTATTGTACACAACATGCTACTGGAAATGCAGAATTTGTGGCGGAATCACCTAATCCCCCTATCATCCAAAGAGTGGATGGTGCTGCTACAGAAGCAATGGAGACAGATGGGTAATCAAGTCATGGGGGGTGTGCTCCGGGCAGTACACAAGTACCTACAGCTGTAGCAGCTGGGAGTGATGCTCATACCCTTGATGGCACATGTGCTGCAGGTGATACCGGTGGCACTGTTGGTAATGGTTTG